TACATGAAATCTGATGGGGGGATTATGGGAGGGCGAATGGCAGAGGGGATCTAAATTTGATTAAAATCTATTATATGAAAAAAAATTCAATAAAAAAAAATTTTTTTAAGAGACATCAGGTTTGGGGACGTGACTTATCCATAAATGTCACACAAGAATGAGGAAATGAGTTTGATTCCCAGAACCCACATTTTTAAAAGGCCATGTGTGGAAGTGCACACAGTGCTTGAAGGGCAGAGATAGAAGGGCCTCTGGGGCTTGCTGACCAGCCAGTCTGGCCAGCTCAGTGAGCTCCAGGCCTGTGAGAGACTGTTCCAAAATGTCAGGTGGACAGATACTGAGTAAGACACTCAACAGACCTCTGGTCTTCACATGCATGTGACCATACCACACACAGACATTTACACACCACATACACACTCACACATACTACACACATACATATATATACACACATCATACATACACCTACGCACCCATACCACACTCCACACATACACATTCCAAACACATACACCACACACAGAAACACATACATACACTGACAAACATATACACACAAGTCACACATATCACACACACACATACACGTCACACATATATACACACACGTCACATATGTATACACACATGTCATACACACACCATGCACACATACACACCACACACACACAAGCCACACACATACCCATACATATATACACACATTATACACATATCACATATACACACATCACATACTCATACACATATACACCCCACACATCACACTCACATGCACCACACACATACTAACATGAAACACATACATACATACATATATACACGCATCACATATACACATTTCACACACACATGCACACACATACACACAGATCACATAAACACACATACATATATACATATATGCCATCACATATATACACGCACACACCACATACACAACACATATGCACACATACACACACATATCACATCACATAAGTACACTTGCACACTTCACACATACATACACACATCACACACACGCACGTGCAGTGGCACCTGACATACACACATATATACACACATACACACACAGATACAAACATCATACACATACATACACACATCTCACACACACACACACACACACACACACATGCAGTGGCATCTGTTTCCCGGTTTGAGATCTGACTTACTGAAGTCATGCAGGCTTCATCCCAGCACGCAGTGTGCAGTGCAGTCTCCATGCAAATGCTCCATCCTCTCCCTCTTCCTCAGGCTCCCTTATCTGTTCTGAACACTTCCAAATTTGCTTATTTTCCTAGTCTCTTCTCTTCTGGCAACACTGGTGTTTATCTTGTGGTCTTCGTCTCTATTACTCATATTTCCTCCCCATGAGCCTTCATTAAAATATTTTAAATTAAGACCTTTACCGCCCCCCTAACCAAGCACATCAGGTCTTTCCCACACAACACATTTTTAATTCTTATCACAAGATTTCAGGCAGTTTCTACATTATATTCTATTAAAAACTCAATTCCGCTTGAGGTTGTCACAATTCAGAGATTATAGCATTCTGCGGGATGTTGCAGTGATATATTCATATATTCACTTTGTTCGCCGGCAAACTTGATGTGTAAGCCTGTATTTCACACCTCATTTGATACCATAATGCAACCAAAGTACAAAAGAAGCAATTATTTATTTAGATTATGGAACCGTTTTATAGGAATATTTGATAAGCATAAATTGTCATGCCAGAGTAGTACTCCCTGCCCTTCTTCAGCATGAGGGGAGGTTGAATACCAAACATGAAGGAGAGACACTCAAAGAACACACTGAGATGGGAGCCCCTCACATGAGCATGTGATGCTGTGTGCAGCTCAACCATCTCTTTCCCATGCAGCCCTTTTAAATTTTCTGCCAAAGAAAATGCAGAACTGGTTTTCACAAAACCAAGAAGTAATGGCCACTTTTGAGAAATGTATGTAAAAATGACCGTGGGGCTAGGAGGATGGCTTAGGGAATAAGAGCACTTGCTGCACAAGCATGAGGACCCAAGTTCAAATCCCAGCATCCACATAATAAAAGGTGGGATGGCTGTAAGTGCCTGTAAGCCCAGTATTGTCAGGGGTGGAGACAGAGGATGGCTGGGGCTTGCTGGTCACCACCATAGCTCCAGGTTCAGCAAAAGACTGTCTCAAGAGTGATAGAGCAGCACACCTGATGATGTCCTTTGGCATCCATGTGCACACTGCACAGGCACTGTGTGCACACATATGTACCCATACCACACACACAAACAAAACATTGACCTTGGGGATTTCAATTTCCTCTGCACATACCACAGAGACCATCATTATAAGCCCAGTGTCCCAGATGTGGAGTCAACTCTTCTCGGCCTCTTCTAGCCTACTGTCAGGGTCTGTGACATGACGGTGGTCAGTGTGGTTTCCTTTAGTTTATGTTACCATCAGTGCCCATGGCCCCCAAACCTCTCTGCTACTCTGCCCAAGGCCCTGGGGACACTGACCTGAATGCTGCCTCCAGAACTGGTTACAGTGGTTCGTTTGGGTAGTCACATATTCTAAGTTATGCCCAACAAAGCCAGTGGCAACCAGCCTGAGGCCTGTGCTGGGCCAAAGCAGGAAGAACAGCTTCTCCCTAAAGTGATCATGTCATCAGACGAATGCTGAGGGCTCCTCGACACCATCCTGCCCCCAGGAGGGAAGACCAGCTAAGGAGAACCCAACTGGAGGAAAGACGGGTCACTGTCCTCAGCACCAGAGTGCCTCCTGACAGTCTACCTGAACTCTGTGTGCCAAGCACCACCAACACACGGCCCAGTGGTAGGCACTGGCAAGGCCACCTGGATAGCCACACAGGAAGGGGAGTTCCCCCACTGGGGACACAGCTCACTAGAGCTCTGTGCTAAACAGAATCAGCCACATCCCCCAACAGAGCCCACCTTTAAGTGTGCGGCCACTGCTGCCCTCTGGCCACCTGCACCCAGTCCCTTCCTCAGGCCCTGGCAGCAAAGTCCACCTCTTGCTACACAGCCAGAGAGCATCACCAGATATTCACTTCCCATGACCACCCTACTCTCAGGCAGGGAGCCCACTGCTTGCTGCCAGGATCATAAGGAAAACCTGCCATGGGGACTGTTAAGGAGGTTTTCCTTCCTGTGAAGAGATGCACTACTCTTAGATATCATTGAATGAGTCTGTGATGCCTGGAAGAGCTGCAGTCATCTTGTGACCATGAAGAAACAAGTTGGAGGATGACCAGGAACACTCATGGAATGCCGAGGAGCTGTTGTGTTAACCCACCACAGGAACAGCCACTACTAAATTTGTCAAGTGGACCAACCAAACACTTTTATAGTGAGCACTTTGGGAAAATGATCTAGTACTTGCAACTGAAAACCCTTGAGCCAATATTAACAACTTAGGACTCAGGGTGCTCAGCAGATACTCAGACACCCAGGGCGGCCTGTCACCCGAAGTCACACTGCACACTCCCTCCATGAGTATAACTGATGAGTTTGGAGTAGGAAGCCACCAGCACACTCAGGTAGAGATTCCTAACAAAGTGTCTGACTATTCAGCCTGAGTGGCTCATCCTCCTGAGAAAGACCTTCAAAGGCAGCAGGAAAGAGCTCTGAGATTGGCTGGGGTCAGCCTGGAGGCAACAGCATGTACCAGGCAACCCACTGGAAAAGCTCAATTTCATCCCCAGCTCTCATGTGACCCTGCTCATCCATCTACACTGCAGTCACCCCCAGCCCATGTCTTCTATACCTAACACTGTGGGCCTCAGAGAATCCAAAGAAAAGAAAAAGAAAAGGAGTTAGGGGCATAGGTGAGATGTGACACCCCTAGGGCCTGTGTGACCAGCCAAGGTGCCAGGCTTCACCCTAGGCAATGTCTGAGCTGATGGTAGATTGTCAGCCATGGGTCCAGCACAGTTTCTTAGCCTGACCAACCACGGGAGAGGATGTTCACCAGTAGAGGGGAGGAGAGGCTCCTGGTAAGCCTGCCCTCAGCTTCCCAGTGTCAATACCATGCTGAGTCCAGCGTCTGAGCAGAAGACTGAAGCAAACTCCACCTTGAGAGTCTGGAGCTGCCTGCCCACCCCCAGGTATGGCAGTGACTAAACAGAAAGGGTCATTTAAGCAGCAAGGCAGCTGGTGAGGTGGCTCAGCAGGTACAAGCGCTTGCTTCGTAAGCCTGAGGACCTGGATCCCCAGAATACTCGGTGGAAGGAGAGGACAGACCCCCGAGAGTTGTCCTCTGACCTCCACATGCAGCATGGCATAAACACACCACATACCACACACATGCACATACCACACACATATATACCACACACACATATGTACATCACAAACCCACACACCACACACACATACACCACACACACACAAACACATACACCATACATCACACGCATGCACACATGCTCACACACAGGCACACATGCACATATACTCACAAACATTCACACATATGTACACATGTGGGCACACACAATAGCAATAAATTTTTTATTTTCTAAAATAAGGGGTGAGGGACAAAATTAGCTGACATCTGTGACCATGCTGTTTGCTTATTTTAAAAAGTAGACTTTCCCTCTGCTCTTTAATCACCTGTTTCCCCCATATCAGCCTTCATTTCCTCATGCAAATAATAATAATAATAGCAATGTACAATTTGGTCATCACACTGAGTGTTCTGACAAATAAGAACTGTGGCATTTGGGGGGTGTCATCATGTCATCTGTATCTGTGCATAAAGGACAGATGCTTGGGGTCACACATGTCCCTGCAGTGGAACCCTCAGAGACTACTATAACCTGGGAGCTTAGCAGAACAAATGGGGCCACAGAGCTGCAAGGCTTCAGTGTACCAGTCCACGGAGCTTCATGGCTGCATTCCTCCTCCCGTGATTCTGCCAGCCACTCTCTACACTCCCTCAAGCCACCGCTGCCAAAGGACCCCAGGATCACAGGCTCACCTGCTCTGTGTGTCAGGGTGATGGCCCATGCAGGCCAGGGCAGCTGTGGTCTGGGTGCCATCCTGCTCTATGTCCTCCTGGACTGCCCACTGGTCCTCGTTGCTGACCCGCACAGCTGTTATCTTCACACCTGCAGCTGCCTTGATGCTGTGAGGTGGGAAGAAAGATACATAAGAAAACCGGCTTAGTTGGAGACAGGTCAAGAAAGAGAGTACACACACACACACACACACACACACACACACACACACACACTTCACCTAGGGGATAGAGGGAGGGGAGGCTGTGGACAGCTTTCCTTGAAGAGTGAAGTCAGGACTGGCAAGATAGCTCACTGGGTAAAGGTACTTGCCACCAAGCCTGATAACCTGAGTTCAATACCCAGAACCCACAAGGTGGAAGGAGGAAACAAAGAGAAAACTCATTTCTGAAATACACACGTGGTCAAGGCAAAATTACTCCACACACACACACACACACACAAAATACAGATGTGTCCCAAGCTGGCTGCGGTGGCTTATACCAGTAAACCTAGCACTTGGGAAGCTGAGGCAGGGAGATTTCTGCAAGTAGTTCAAGGCCAGCCTGGGCTACATAGTAAGTTCCAGACCAACATGGTCTATATAGCAAGACCCTGCGTCAAAAATAAATAAGTGCATAAATAAATAAGTCCTTTCATTTCACTAGTGCTCCAAGTAAGAGCCCAGCATTTCTTTGTGAGCATTTCCTATTTGATCTGTGTGTTAGGAATAGGTTACTTTGGGCCCCTAGGCTTGGTGTGGTGTTAAGAGACAGAAGCTTCCCGAAGAAGCTGGAATCTGCTAAGCTGCTCCTCACTGGAGTGGGGAAGTATCCCCAGAGTAGGGCCATGAGAACAGCTTCAGGGCTATGCAAACCCAGGAATCACTCCCATTTGGAACCCAGGAGGCCACTAAGCAGAGCACACTGTGAAAAGGAAAGGTCAGACACCCAGTCCTCTGATGTTTGCAAGCACCTACTCAGGCAGGATGATGCAGCAGGACTCCTCTGCGGCACTCTTGGTCTTCAGGAAGAACCAGGATCTGGTGTCTGTCTTGAGCAAAGGCCAGGGACAATCCAAATTGGGGCTACCTTAACTTAGTCCCTTGCTGTTGAGATGCCCTGCACCATAATGCTAGTCATAGTCAATGGTGCAGGTGCAACAGGCAGTGGCCCCCTCCTCTAGGTGTTGAGAGCCAAACCTTGCTCCTGTGATGATCCCCCACCATGTTGCCAGGCACAGTCAACAGCACAGGCACCACAGCCACCAAATTTCAGATGGCTAGGCCCCATTGCCAAAACACAAGCAACAGAAATAACTGCATGTCTCCTCCAGAAATTAGTACACCTACCACAATGCCCCCTGAGAAGAGCAGCTTAGTTGATGCACAAAACAACAATTTCAAAATAGCAAATATTTTTGGTCTTTTTGAAACAGGGTCTCCATATAGCTGCAGCTGCCCTGGAACTCACTATGCAGACCAGGCTGGCCTTGAACTCACAGAGATCTGCCTGCCTCTGCTTCCCAAGTGCTGGGACTACAGGCATGCGCCATCACCCCCAGCTTAAAATAGGAATTTTAAATGTGGTCAAGGAGCTCAAAGAGGACATGCATAAACTCCAAAATGAAGATGTGAATCACAATCAAATGAAATAAAGAAAATACTCTAGGGCTGGAGAGATGGCTCAGCAGTTAAGAGCACTGACTGCTCTTGCGGAGGACCCGGGTTTGATTCCCAGCACTCACATGGCGGCTACAAACCATCCTTAACTCCACTTCCAGGGGAATCCGAAGCCCTCTTCTGATCTCCACAGCATTGCACAATGTGGGTGCACTCACATACATGCAGGCAATACACTCATAATACGCATAAAGTAAAAATAATAAATAACATATTAACAAAAAGAAAATAATCTAAGACATGAAACTAGAGTTTAATAATAGAATTTCTGAAGAAAAAACAAACTGAAATAAAACTTGAAATGAGCTCTGCTTTCAAGGGCTGCACAACCCACCAGGTTCTCTCCTAGGAGGCCTCTGGGCCTGGTCCTGCCCTCACCTCCCTCTGCTTCACTGGGCTGCACAACCCACCAGCCTCTTTCCTAGACACCAGGCCAACCTCTCGGCTTCCTGATCCTTTGCATCCAGACCAACCCAGTTCCTCTCTACAGTCTCCAGGAGCCCTTGGGGCCTCTTCCCATCCCCATCTCCCTTTGCTTCTCTGGGTGGCATGGCCAACAGCTGTGCAAGATCAGCATCTTTCCTGGGCCCTGCTCCCAGGCCAGACCAGCCCCCAAATTCCTGAGGACAACATCTCTCCTGGAGGGATCCAGACCTTAGGAGAAAGCCTGAGAGCATCTGATCCTCATCTCACTTTGGCCTCTGTGGGAACTCCTGAAGACAAAGGCAATCTGGCCACTCCAATATAAAATCAAAAGAGAGAACCAGAAGCTTAGATAAACCAGCTTTTCATGCCCAAAAAGTAAATCACAAAGACACATAAAGTTTACAAAAAGAAGCAGACCTAAA